GGGGTCACGGTCCGTCCCCGGTCGCGGTTCCCGATTGTGCGTTTCAACGCGTTTTTTGAAATTTTTGTCTGCTTGGGTAGTGATGGCGCGCTCACTAAGAAATGATACAATCTGCTTCTTGCATAGCTCGAATCAGTTGTCGTTGTGGATTGAATCGATCAGCAAGTCGATTCATTGGTGCAAAATAATTGTTTGTCATCCATTGGCGTTTGTATGTCATGATACTTTTCACTTGTCGTGTTCGGCCAGCCACGACCAGTGATTGAACCACGAAGAATCGATGTTGCACTTGACCAATCTCGTAGAATTCGTTACTTGAGTTTCCACATAAAACATCACTTTCGAAGAAGACCTTGTCTTCAAACTCATCTGGACTCAATGTCAGACAAAGTTTGTAGACGATCTCATGCTCATCAATGGACAGTTTCCAATAGTTCTGATAGTCCGTGTATCGACGGATCTGACCATCATTGCATTCGATAGTGTTACAGACGCAAGATAAGTAGTACATACATCTGGCCACGTCGTTATTGGGCACTTGAACTGCGCATCCAGTTTGTTTAATATTGTAACTATTCGCTCCAAACATAGCCATTTCGATGAATGAAGTGAAATAGCTTAATAACTATTGATTGTGAATGATGCGGATCGCTTACATTTATAGGCAATCACACATGGTACTTACATGCATACACGTAAAATTTCCAAGCTTATTTTAAAATCATCCTGGGAAATTACCTTTGATACCTTATATTATTGTACAAGAACACCAAACGAAAAACATCAACATGTTTCTACCGTGGTTTAATAATGTTACTTTTACTCATTCATTGATAAGTGCAGGTTGGTAACTAGAAAAATTTCATTCAAGAATATCACAAAAGTGCAGCAATTGATTCAAGTCGGTTAATGTATGCGAAAAGTATTACAGAAAATAATAAGGAATGAATCAACTTTTAATTCTGTTTACGAAGAGTAAGAGAGCGTGTATAAGTCCCATCGTCGACTTTCTACGAAGTTGAAGGAAGATAATATTGATTTAAAGCAACACCATGTTAAGTAGCATTATAGTACTTTTTTTTTCTACTTCCGACCCTGACAACGCCTCTCTTTAATCTCATGATTTTATCGAAATCAAGTATGAAAGAAATCTCAGTCGTCTTATAGACTACCATGGATGTGGGTTTTCTCTTCATGTATATGCTCATACTCTTATCTGACTGAATTACTTTTTTGATTCTTTTTGCCTTTTTCATATACTAATAATATCTTGAGTGATAGCTGTTAAAACTGAGCAGTTTCTTTTGCTTTCAGCTAATCTTCGCAAAATTTCTAAAAGTGATCATACTAGTACAAACATAGCTCATATTGGGAAAGATATAGCCTGTTCTTACTTGCATAGCTTTAGCATCTTTTTTAAATTGTGCACGTTCCTGAATCGTGCAATTCTCTTTTAACTGTTTATTCATTTTTTTCTATTTCAATGAGATAATAAATAATATTCAAAAATAAAAAAATACCTTTCGTAACTACTAATCTGATTCCTTTTTAGCAAAATCAATTAATAAATTCTAACCATTCAATACTTGAATTACAATTGTCTAACTTTTGCTTACGTTTCAGCTTTCTGTCTGTTCTATTGGATGATTGAACTATTGCTATTCAAAAATCCATTGAAAACAGTTTGATCTATTTATACTCGGAATACAAGACTGTAGGTCGTTTATCAAAATTCTCAAGTTTGATTTTTTAGGTGATTAGAAGCCTATTACCGTCAATTCAGCCAAGTTGTATAAAATTCTTTACAATAAATCTTCGTTGACAGGAAAATAATTTAACTCAAAAACTTTGACAAGTCAACCGTAGAGTCAGATTCCTCGGCCCTGGCAACCTTAAATCAAGTTTTATTAGGAAGGTCATTATTTTCGAACAATAGCCATGCTTTCAGCGAAAAAATTGAATTGAAACAATATGACTTTTATCCCTAGCTATCACCTCAATTTCTATCTTGTATTCCAAAACTTTAAGAGCACCACAGTGAGAATTTTCACGATCATGTAGCATTTTTTGGTGCTGAGGTGCTGCACTTAACTACTTGATTGGGTTGTAAGCTGATGCTATATGATGCAAAAACTTTTCTGAGTAAAATATATTCTACAACTATTTTCTTTTCGATTATTTTTAAGTTCTTTCTAATAATAAATTTGAATTTGGGTAGAAAGCACTCTCTACAATCGTTTATAACTGGAATCGAAAGTCGTAAGCGCTGCCAGCAGTTCTTATGAGTATGTACTTGATAAAAATTTCATCACATATATACAAAATACTCGAACTGGTACGAGATTACAATGAATAGATTGGTTATATGAATTGGAAACCTTGTTTCCTGAAGCTATTGTTAATAATCAATCAAATGATCATAAAAAGAGAACACAACATTTTTTTTAGTTTCTTTTGTGATGATTCTAACTTCACTTCATTTTACGAGTTTTGTCGTATGCAATTTTTAGATGCTACACAAATGGAAACAGAAGTTCTTTTTTTCTTGTTAATAAATTGAGGAATAATCTAAGTGCTTTACTTTAATAAACTATACAATCATTGTTACAACTTGACCAGTTCATTTATGTCTTTTAGTCAAATTCTTAAATCTATTGATATTTCCATGTCTTCTTCATACTGTCAATAATTTTGTGCTTACTACCAGAGACTGAATTGAACCCAGTTCGAGTTCGTCTCAATCCATTTTGAGTCTCTTCTTACTATTGTATGTATTTAAAATTAACAGTGAATATAAACTTCTTTTTGTTTTTGTTTAGTTTCATACAGCTGCTTAACAATTTTTTAAAAAGCACTCAAATAAACCAATTGATAGTCTATTACAACCTAAACAACGAGCAACATTTGATAATTTTATGAAATTATTACTTTATTTCCACGCCGATGGCAACTAGGTTATGATTCTATTAAAAGAGAGCATATTGTTAAGTAAAAAACAGAATGCAGTCAGGCACAGCAATTTATTTTGATTTTTTCATAAATCATTTTACCTTTGAATAATTGATTCACCATTACGTGCACTTGATTGTACACTTCAAAGTGATTTCTATTCTAATGTTAAATTCATTTTTTGAATCAGATAAATTTTTTTAAACAAAAAAAAGCACTGAAAAGTATTTAAAAGAAAACGTAATAAGTAATAATGTAGACTCTTGTTGAGATTGAGAGAGTTCGGAGGGTGTGAGTGTGGGTGTGTGGGTGTGGGTGTCGGTGTGTGGATGTGGGTGTGGGTGTGCGTGTGGGTGTGGGTGTGGGTGTGAATGTGCATGATAAGAAGATAATAATCGCGTCGACACCCACACCCACACACCCACAACCACACACACACACACACCCACCAAGCCCACTCACACCCACACCCACACCCACACCACACCACACCCACCCACACCCACACCCCTAGTTCAAGGAATTGATATATTAGAATCAATCAATAAGAATGGTATGGTTTATTTTATTCTTAGTTCATCTACGGTTTTTTTTTTGTATTTTAGGTATTCGTGTTGCTACAGGTGGTGCTGGTGCTACTTATGATGATCAAGTTCGTGGTGGTGGACCGCTTGATAAAATGGGGATTTATGCATGTGGTGAAAGAGAATATTTTTTTTTGTGTAACATTTCTGTTTTTTTTGTATCGCATTTCTCATTGTATTCGTTTGATATTCATGGGAAATAAAAAATTACTCATGCATCTTTAGAACATTCTCATTAAACAGAAAACATGCAAATCTCTTTAGAGAAAAGTTATTAAACTATCTCTAAAATAAGAACAATTTATGTGTATTAAAATGTTTCTATTTCTTGAAAAATATCTAAGCTATTCGAACTTCAGTATAGATGAATAACTATGGAAGTATTGATAATACAATTTACATTTTATCTATGGCATTGGAAAATATATAAATATTCAATTTTATTTATATCAAAGTAATTAATAAACATGTTCTCTATCAAAAAAATTATTTTAAGAACGCTATAAGTTCATAAAGTGAATTCAGAAGAAGATCATTAATTTAGAATCGTTAACTATATTTTAAAAATAGTAGCTATTTTTACCTTGTTTTTTGTAATTGTTCATTGGATTAGATGCTTTATTTGAATTTCCTAAAACTTGTGCTAGTTTCCATTTAAAGGAAGTAATGAAGATATTGAAAGTATAGGAGGTCATGAACGTATTGGAGATATTGGAGGTATAGAAGAAATGTATACAAAATGTGACAAAAAACCTAGACCGAGTCGGTAACAAAAACTTATGTCTACCCGGCAGAAAAAAACCATCTATTGGGACGGATCAAGTTGGCCGTTTACCGTTACCGGCTGCAACTGTGACCAGGGGTGCGACTTTCCATGGCAACCTCACTGAGAGAGATGCCTTGTGTGAGTCTTTCGGTAGCATCCTCAACTCGAGAGATGTTGGTGTGCGTGTGTATGGGTGTGCCTGTGGGTAGACGTTCCTTCTTTATCAACACCCACACCCTAATTCAATCACATACAGTAAAGAGTGAATTTGAGAGTGTGTATATCGTTTGGAAGCATCGAAAAGTAGAGTGTCTTCAATATATGAAAACAAACAGAAAGACAAATAATTGACTGAAATAGACTTATCCATACAGACAATTTGGTGGACACATGCAAAATCGTCTATCCACTAAGTTTTATTGCCGTTCTATTACAAAAATATGGCGCTTAATGTCAATGAATAGAAGAAGCTCATTAATCTTCGATTGAAAAACGTTAATAGAGGACTTTTTTAAATTTCTAATAGAAGTGAAAACAATATCATGTGATATGATCTGAATCGATTAATTAAAAATCTTTCTATAAGATAGAATAACTTATTGGATGAGATCTGTATTAGATGGCATCTTACAGTCTTCTGAGCTAAGATCGGAAAAGAATATGCTTCATGACAGAGTTGTGTATCTTTATTTAGATTGTTGCCTAAAAAAAGTGAAGAAATATCCTTTTATTACTCTTATCTAAGCAGTGTCCTTACAAAGTATTCTGCTTTATTAAAGAATTGTGTACCTATTACCACGGTTACCAAATCAATGTTTTCGAAAATCAGAAAGTATTCATTGGCATTTTCTAGAGAAAAGCTGATGTTTTCGTTTGCAGAAGAGTTTGCTACCTTTTTCTAATAAAGCATTCATAGTAAATGTCACGTATCGTCGTTAATACGTAAATGCCAGGAACGTATTGTATTATCAATTGTGTAATACAATAGAGGTCAAGGTCAATAACGATGTTTTATTGACTTGAAGAACAGAGACAAATAACAAGTTAGATGAAACGAAACGAACAAGAGTAACTGACAAAAAGAAGAAAAAGATGAACATATATATGTCGTGCCGAAGTTACACTTTTTGTCGAAGTTATAACTTCGACAGAAATATTTGCCTAAGTTGTAACTTCGGCAATGTACTTTATCGAAGTTACAACTTCGACGGATATTTTTGTCAAAGTTATTTTTCATGATTTAATTAAGTATCAATTATCAAGAAATGATCATTATCATGCTAAAGCATATAGTTAAAGTTGATTTTTCAGCTCAGCAATATTTACAGCTACATTTATTGATAAATATTTTGAAAAGTGTACAAAACATTGAGAACAAAACCCTTTTGTTTTTCTAATAATTTTTCATTCTCTATTCAAAAGTGTGCGTGCGGGTGTGATGATGTGCTGTGAGGGTATAGGTGATGGTGAAGAGAAGATCCTCACGGACGCCCACACTCGCGGTCACACACACCGGAAATGGCAACAATTCGGTTTGCAACTGAACTACACCGATATCGGCGTAGTTTGAACTTTAAAAAAAGAACTAGGTCGGCTCGGTTCGGTTTCGAAAAATCGATCTCATCTAAATCCGATCTCAAAATACACATATTCACTTGCCTTTCAGTTATGACTCGATTCAGTTCACAGATTTTAAAAAATAGATCGCTTCGCTTTGGCTTCAAAAAGCAAGAACCGATCCCATCTCTGGCATCTATTACCACGCCTGCATCTACACCTGCACCTACATCCACACCCATATTCCCATCTCCAGTCCCACTTCCAGATCTTTGAATCCCGTGGTCAAGAAATACAGGCTGTTTCCTGCCACAGAACTCTGGAAAATGGTAGGAAGCTGGGAGCACAAAACCGGTGACTAGATTCGGTGGCCAGTTTTATTCAGTTACAGTCTTTTCCGGTCGGAACTAGAAGAATCTGGCCCCCGGATCGGATCACCAGATTTCTGCTTCCAAGTTCCTACCATTTTCGCGAGCTTTTTAGGCGAATTTCTGTTCGATACCCACGATTTCGGGAACCAGAAACATTGACCTGGATGAAAAACGGAAAAGCATTATCAAAATAACACGGTTTTGTTCTCAATGTTTTGTACACTTTTCAAAATATTTATCAATAAATGTAGCTGTAAATATTGTTGAGCTGAAAAATCAGCTTTAACTATATGCTTTAGCATGATAATGATCATTTCTTGATAATTGATACTTAATTAAATCATGAAACATACCCAGGTCAAAGACGTACGGCGGGAAACGGCAGGAAAACACGGGAAATCGCGGAAACATGGAAGCAGTATTCCCGCCGGAAATTTTTCAGATTTTTTCCGGTAGATTCCGACCAACTTCCTGTGCTTTCCAGCAGGAACCGATCGGAAATCACCGGAAAAAATTCGAAAAATTTCCGGCCGGAATACTGCTTCCATGTTCCCGCGATTTTCCGTGTTTTCGTGCAGGATACGGTGAGTTTTCCCGCATTTTCCTGCTGGTTCCTGTGGCATCCATTCACCAGAATCATTGACCTGGGTAACTTCGACACGACATATATATGTCTATTTATGTATAGAAATGATGACTCATGTCAATATAGACAACGAAACAGAATGAAAAGAAAAGAAGAAGAAAACAACAATCTAACTAAAGATATAGACTACATCACAGTAAAATTTGCTGACAAGCGGTATAAAAAAAACAAGAAAATATGATCACGCATATTTTATATTATTAATCTTTTCATATTTCTTCATAAAAATATACAACCAAAACTAAAAAAAAGTTTACTTTCAAACTGATATGAAAACAAAATAAGCATATAGTAACAATAGGTTATTTACTGTACTGTGTGGGGCACTTTTACAACATGACAGTATTTCTCTGACAACTGGCTTTATTTCAACAAAGCTGGTTTACATAAGAGATATTCATAAAATTCTGGACAGTTGCAAGAACTGTTCAACTTAGTTTTTAATTCAGCGTCAAGAAGTTCATTTTTCATTTTGTTTTGATTACTCTAGAAAAATTTCATGCGACTAAAAATAGATTCACAGAAGGCATTTGATAGTGGCTGAGTTAATCTAATCCAAAAACGATCTTATTTGTTTTTTCAGCCTTTTTTGTTGATTAAACATGTTGCTCAGAGTCGATATGAAGAAAAAACAGCAAAACAGGAGAAAATTATGAAAATCAGCTCCAGGTACTACGAGAATTTTTTCACTAGGAGAAAGGTTTTAAAACTAGGATTTTCCTAGACGAATCAGGAGGTTTTATAACTCTGCCTATTACTATATTCCATTTTAAAACATATATGAAACGCATATCGTTTCTTAGAATATTCACTAGGCATTCAAAGTAGTATTGCTGAGAAAATGTCGAACGCTTGTCAGCTAAGCTAATGAAATTTCATACGTGAATCGTAGAACACTTGTGTGAAATTTCATCATTGTTAACCTTAAAATAAACCAACTATCTGTTCTCAGTTTGACAAAAGTCATCGTAAAATTGGCGCATTTTTTTCCTACTTTTTTGCATTACGAAAGAAACAATCCATAACTTATCCATCTTCTCTTGGATTTTTTCATATCAACTTAATCAATGTTTGATTTCTTTGAAACTATTGTGGGAGAATAAATGTATTAAAAGAAAATAGTTCTGAAATTTGTTCTTTGATTTCTTTAAAGCGCTTACATTTAACCCATCACCACGTAATTCCGTTAAAACAATCGTTTTATTTCAATAAATAAGAAAAATGGATAATGAGAAAGAATGTTTTAGCCTATTTTACAGATGTCATTAAACAACCATTATAACAAAAACAGTTGTGTTGGTGTCTGAGTCTTCTCTTCCGTAACACCTACATCCACACACACCCTTGTTTAATTTGTATTTTTCTATCCATCAAAGATTTCAGGCGTGCACAATATAAATTATATTTTGTATGTTGAGAAGAACAAGAAAAGAATACGTATAACTTTTATTATTTATCTTATGTTTATGAAATTATATGAAAAAAGGTTAAGTCTATTCTCGTTGATAAATGATAAGATCGACATAAAACTACGATAAATTGCTTAGAAGAGATAAGTATAAGAAAAACAGCAGATTAGCAAAAAATATGAATGTTTCTTTTATCTTTAGAATTGATATAATCAAAACGACATTTAGTATTCACAATATCGTTGGAATTCATCGTCTTTATAAGGATCAGAAAGATTATTCAAGATCGTTGTCATTCAAAACATATCCGCAATGATCTTATTGGCAACGAAAAGCATCTGATTATCTTATTTGGTGTCATCTATTACGCGCATTGGACTTCAGTGCTGCATTTTTATGTTCACCTTGGACATTTTCGATGACATTTTCTGAAGCGAATGAACGGAATTTTAAATGGGTATCGTTAGTTTTTCCTTATAATATAGGTTGTGAGTTTATCGTCGATTCGTTTTGGCATTGGATAACTCATGGACGTACAAGTCCATATGTTCGAGGAGCAATACATGAAAAAAAAATTTAATCCGATAAATCCATATGATGAAAAAGGTCAGCATCATTTATTAAAAGAAATAATATTCATAACACTTGGATGGTTACACTCAGCTTTTATTCATTGTGTTTTTATGTGGTTATGGGCTAGTGATCGATTATCTTATTATAATGTTTTTTGATCTCGACCATTCTTCTCAATTTTTATTCTATTAAATATTGTATTTTGGAGAGCATTGCATTCCTATTTGGTAAACCCAATAATACCTATTCATTTATAAAATCTATTTGATTTATCTAGATTCATCGTTGCATATATTGGTAGTGGTCTGTCCAAAATGGCTTACATCAAGGTGATATTGGAGCATTTCTATATCACCATTTTCATAGTCTTCATCGTCAAAGTCGTAATCCTGGCTCATGGTCTGGCTTATCGATGCATCTAGTTGAACATTTCATTTATTATACATGC